TGGCCCCCTCCATCCCCCTCCGCACACAACCGACCCCCTCCCAGCAGGACCAGGGCCCGGCCGGGGCCGATTCGCGCAGGACAAGCAGAAGCTGGCTGTGAGGTGTGCCATCAAAACTGGAGATGCCAGGGTGGGGGCAGGCAGGCCAGCAGGAGCCGATGGGCACAGAGGGGCGGCACCCAGGCACAGGGTCACATCTGTGCCGGGGGCGATGAATCGCTGCTCGGTCGGCACTGCCATAACCACTGCAAGGGTTGTACCCAAACAGCCAGCACCCCAGCACCCTGTCCCCGCATCGCCCCCCGGCTTCCTCCCTGGATTTTGGTAGGAAATGCAGTCCCAGACATGCACGCACAGTGGTTTCCCCCTCGGTCCCAGGGGGTGCCACTGAAATTTTGCCTTTTTCCAGGGCTGGGGGCCAATGAACAGCAGCACAGCTCCTGGTGCTTTGGGGAAAGCCTCGCTGCCCCGGCTCATCCCCTCCTGCCACCCGAATAGGGCAGGTCAGCGTGTCCCCAGAGGAAAAAAGCAATTCCCGGCCCCTGTCCCGTGCCATCGGGTTTTGCTCAGTACAAGAGGGGGGACGCAGAGGCGCATCTTTGCCAGGCTGGGACCGGACCAGCCCTGCTGCACTGAGTCCCAAGGGCCAGTGAAAAAGGGGAAGCTGCTCCCCTGGCCCTGTAAACCAGGGTTTGACGCTGCAGATCCTCCCCCTGTCTGGTTGATGCCGCAAAGGCGTGCCTGGGTCATGTCTTCTCCTCCACAAGGACACTCCTTTCTCACCTGCACTGATTCCTAAAACAAAAGGAGAGATGCAGAGATGCTCGCTTCATCTCTCGGCTCCAATCTGGGGACCAGGGGAGCCACTCCCATGGGCAGGTGCCCCCGATGCCTACCAGGGACCCCTGCTTCACCCAGCAACTGCATGTGGAAGGCACCTGAGTTAAGGCACCCCAGCCCTCCCCTGGCTCCCCCCGGCTGATGGAAAGCTCTCCCAGACGAAAGGAATCACTGGGGAGGAGAGGGGAGGGGAGGGCAGGACGGCTGTTGCGCGGGGGCCTGGCTACATGCTCCCCACATACGTAAGTCCCAGCCCCTCCCATCAAACCCTGTCAACCCCCGTTAAATTTAAAACCATCTTAATTAAAGCTCCACAGCCCAAGCTAGCAGGAGCCAGTGGGTCACGAAAGGGGAAAGGATAATTAAATCAACCATCCAAATTCACCCTCCCAAGCATGGGGGGAGTCGTGGTCAGGAGCGATGCAAAATGCCTCTGAAAAGACCTGTCAAAACAGGGAGTTTAAGACCAAAACAACCCCCTGAGAAGCACAAAAGCAGGTTCTGGATGTTTATCTGGCCAAGAAACCGGAAAGCACCAAGCACACATGCAGGGAGCCATGCAGGGAGCTCGAGCTCTCCCCAGCATTGGGGGGCCAGCCCCTCGACAGGCAGTTTTTGGCTTGCCGGGGTGATGGGCAGTGGCTCTGCCAATGCCAGCGGCTGCACACAGCTCAGTGCCCTCCTAACCCCCGCAGCACCCCCGAGCTGGGAGAGGGCAGGGGAAGCCCAACAGTGGGCCCCCCATAAGCACTGCCTTGCATAAGGCTGGCAAGAAAAAGTTGCAGACCTTATCTCCCCAAAATAATGCAAGTGGCTGCCAGGAGCGAGTGGGACGTGTGGCAAGTTGTGCTTGCGGGTGCCAAGCCACCAAGCACTCGGTTTTAAGCCTTCTTCTCCCCCAAGGGATGGAGGAAGGGAAGGTGGCCATCACCACGCTGCAGCAGAGCTGGGTACCAACCGGGCCACGTCTTCAGATCCCCCAGCGTGCGGATGAGGGCAGTCCGGGCTGACCCACCATGGTGCTCACCCACAGCCCCGTGCACCAGGTCCCTGGGAGCTGGCAGAGCTTTGCACAGAGAGCTGCAGCCGTCTTTCCTGACCAGCACGCCACTGAGCGATGCTTGCGGCAGCTCCTGGCACACCGCTCCCTGGGATCACACGCAGGGCCCTGCTGCGCGGTGGGTGCTGGGAGCTGCAGCCCCTTGCCTTTGCCGAGCACGTGCAGCCGGCAGTGCCCCATCAGCCCTTCCCACCACCGTGCAGCAATAAAGCCACCCCAAAAATCAGG